GTACATTGTAACTAATGATTACAAACACTTTTTAATAATAATAGAAACAGAAACATATTTAAGAAAGTATAATACATACTCAAAGTATTGAAATACACGCCATCGTGTTGGGATTCAATATTTCGACATTAATTATGTCACCATCAGGAATCATTTTATCATCAGGATCATTTTATCAAGTGTGAATTGGGTGTTAGTTATAGAGTACGGTATTAATTAAAAACATATTTAACATTTGCATACTCTGGCTTGGAAAAAGGCCTTGGTTCTTTGTTTGTAAAACAATTTTTGAATTTACTGGGGCCCTTTAAGGCTCTGGGGTTCTGGCTTTAGCCAGTGAGAGCTCATAACCGTTACACCACTGTTCCCGGTCCTTGATCATCCATGTCATTGTATTGTTTGTTCGTCTCAGATGTTTTGATCGTAGGCCTAGTTTCGACCCACAATGCTTAAATTCAGTTAATACATGTGTCTTCAAATATGTAAAGAAAAAAAAATTATTAGTTTTCTGGATTAAATTCTGTCATAACCAGAATTCGTATGACTAACAACTCATAAGATGAAACCGATTCATACGAGCAAAAAATGTTACACGCGTCCAGTGCTAAAAAAAAAATCACCCCGTGATTTAGTACGCGTCCCGTGTAACATTTTATCAAGTGTGAATTGGGTGTTGGTTTTAGAGTATTATTTTTATACTCTAAGTGTACAGATCACTATCAAATGAGAAAAAAAAAATAACGAACGTACGTGATTATACACAAATGGAAGCATTCCAATGTACGTGATAACTAAAAATAGAATTACAAATAGATTACATAAATACCAATAATAATTTAACAATAATCGTCAGAAGACGATTCACCGAAATCCATTACTGTACAGTAAAAAGAATTCTGTTGATATTGAATTGTCAAATAAATATGTTCAGAAAGTGGAATATGCAATGCTATCGTTCTCAATATGTCATATTCATTCTTCTATATCTGTACTGTTATGTATTCAGTATTGTTGTGAGATTATCAGTACAGGTTATAGCCCCTAGTCATTTAATTACCTTTATAGGACTATACATAAATTTCACTTAGGGGATAAGTGGGTACACAGTGCTATTTTATCCATATTAGCGTGCTGTTTCCTAAGGTAAAAAAAAATCTCCAGTGTTCAAGTTCGACAGCCTTTTCCATGTTTCAAAATAGTATGACCTCGATTGTCAGAGAGGACCTGACATTGAAGTGTTAATTAATTTGAAGTAAAAACAAGCTGGGTAAATGCTCTGCTCAATTTACATCAGCTAGACTATGCACAACTTGTTAAGGTGCCCTTTTTATTTGATGACATTTGATATGTTTCTTTTGCCAGTCAAGCGAAGAAAGTAAAATGAGCTTAATCAATAGTCCGTTAATTGCAGGTTTTCTCTGTAATCACTGATGGGAACTCGGCTATCCCTGTTACTTGCTCTTGTCAAAAGATTTATCAGGTTCATAATCTTAAATGAAAAAGAAACAAATTGAATATTAAACGAAAACGACTAATATAGCCAGTGATGCGTTGCTCAAGACGTGGATTAGCATTTTCCGAAGAATACAGAAATATATTTTTAAGTTAATATGGATAATACTTCTATTGTATATTCAGGAACTCATTTAAAATAAATTTAGGAGGAAATAGAAGTTATGAATCTCAATCAATGCAAACATAATACATCATACGATGACACTGGAAAACTAAAAAGGTTAAACGTATTAAAAAGACGTATTATTAAATATAATGAATTATGGGAGTTGATGAATACTTTAAATATGTTCCATCAGAGGATGATATGATACTATCAATATTAAATTAAAAACGAAAATATTTCAACATGTTTTCATTAATGATGATAATAATAACTAGAGCACACTCCGAGGGGGTATACCGCCCACATCATAATTCCCCCTGTAAATATTCCGACGTATCTTTTCAAGACTTGATAATGTATTTAAAGTACAAAAAAGAGCTCTTACAATTTTTACTTATTTTAACTATCTCTCTTATTCAAAACTTTTATTTTACAATGTCAATACATTAAACATTATGATATAAATACATGACAAACGGGTATATTTATGTATCGTCTTTCCTACTTCCTATATCATTCAAAGAATTATTTTCTTTTAAAAAAATAACCAATTCCACAATTATAACAACCAGCCGAAGACTATGCTTTCTCCACAAATTGCAAATTTAATCTCGTACGCCAATCAATTGAATATTCTGGTCCACAGCTTTGGACCTTCCTTGATGAAAAGACTTAAAATTCACCCTCGATTAGCAGCTTTAAACTCACAATTAAGAAGATGCTTTTAAATACTTATAACCAAATAAATTATTACCGCTCGAATGACCGAGCGGTTAAGGTAACGAACAGCCATAATATCGGCGCTGGCTCGCTTAGGGTTCTGGAGGTGTAATAAGTCTTCTCGGATAAGGACTATAAACCGTAGGTCAAGTGTACAATTGGCTCATATATAAAGAACCCAGTACATCTTTTGAGACGAGTAGGGGGTTTCCCCGGTGTACTGATCCATACAGCGCATGTTGTAGACAAACGAGTGTAGCTGGTATCGGTTTACCGAGTAGCTTAGTGACCTAGTCCACGCCACTTACTTTAGATACTATCGGAAGATAGATAAAAATTAAATCATCTCTTTTTGACTCCACTTGGTTACAGTCATTTCCTGAAATTCACCTTATCTTGCTGCGTTCTGGGGAGGTGGAAGCAGACTGTAGAGGTCTGTTGGATATTTCCCAGTATGCATTCTGTAGAAGACTGTGCAAGCACCAACAAGTCGTCTGTGACGGAGACTGGGTATACCAAGATTACTCAGAGCATAGTCTTCGTCAACACCGATGCTGTTAATTGCTTTTCTTTGTATGTTATCGAGTAGGCGCAGATGAGTCTTTGAGGCGTTAATCCAACTAATGGAAGCGTATTCCATAACGCTTCTGACTTGGGCTTTTTACACACTGGCACGGCATTTGATGTTTATCTTGCTCCCTACCTTTCTGAATGCTCCAAGTCGCTTACCTGCTCTAGATCCTATGGTGTTAAGATGTTTCGACCAAGACAACTTGCTATCACACCTAAGATGTCAAGGGTGGCATGACGAACCATTCTAGAAAGTTGTTCAGACGCATTTATCATTTTTTTTTTATAGATATCTACAATATTATCGAAGTTACACGTATCGACGCCGTAATCCGGATCGTCACTAAAATTATTAATTGTTAATTATTTCTTCATTGGACAATGGCAAACAATTTCAAAAGTTTCATTCAGATCTATTGATGAGTTTTTTTAAATATATATGTCTGGGCCGTTAGCATTTTAAATGACCCCCAAATTCACACCCGAATCTGGATCGTCACCAAAATGTAAAAATAACTTCCTTGTAACTTGGTTAACACTTTCAGAAAATTTCATGTAGGTCAGTAGATCATTAATTATGATTAACAATAAACAGCAAATACAATACAAATCAGAATATGAATATTTCATTGGATTAAAAAAGTGCAAATTAAAATTGAGGAATGTTACATTTAGAATAATTATCATAACTAAAAATTTAGATAAATAACAAACATGTCCTTGAAATTGACGACAACACTAAGATAAAGGCTGTCTTTGATTCAAATTCCAATGGGAACAATTTCGTATTTATCACTAAAACAAGGGTTAGGCCTATAGCAAAGTAAGCATTTAGCTCAAACCAAAGCTCCCAAGTCTCCAGGATTACCATGGAGTTTGGTTCATCTCCCGAACTCAATGAATTTCCCAAATTTTTCCGGAATTTTAATTTGTTATTGATTGATCCAGTATTTAATAGATTTTCAGAACTAGGGCTTAGGCTAAGTTAAATTTCCTGCGCAGGCCTCTTTCTTAGTATGTTAAACATGGGGATGATTTTGAACGCATGTGTATTTGTACACTCGCTTTATCTAATACACGCGTCGCAAACTTCTGACAAACCTGCACAACAGATTCTCAAGCAATTTGACTTTACCAATTTGGGACCAATGCCTATATCGGTATCGTGGTAATAACTAACATTAATTACCAAATAATTATGCTGCCTTTACTTATAAAATTGAATCGATAGGTAAACAATCTAATACATTATAGTGAATTATATCTTTATAGTTATTTTCAGGTATATTCAAATACTCTTTTATATATAAAAAAAATCAGTAGTGATTGCCTTCGAATTTCTCTGGATAGTAGAGGGGTTGGTAAGACAGAGTGGCCGTTTAGATTATGTGTTTACATAAAATCAATTCAAACCACCTACTATACTTTCAAAACTAACAGGTACAAGGACAGCATTATTCAATACGCCTTGTTGGCTTAACCAGCGGAATAGTTAAATCTTACATTGTATAATATATATTTCAACTATATCTAATAATATACATTTAATTTAAACTAAGAAACCTATATCAACATTTTTAGGTTATTAAAACATCATTCCTAAATCATGTCTTTAATATTGTATCACCAATATTAGTACCTCATCAGTGTTAAACATATTCAAAAATCTGTATCTCATTAACCGCTCCTAAGGTTTTAGTCAAATAGGGGCCTATGCTTTTTATGTCTTAGAAAAATCAGTTCTACAACATATCAATTTTTTCCTCCGGAGCCTAGATTTAAACCCGCAGAATAGACAGATCTTACATTGTTATTCAACCTTGTTTCAACCATAATAATATAAAGTTTATTTTTAACTAGGAAAGCTATATCAACGTTGTTAGTTTCCATCATTCCTTCATAAATCATGCATTTAATTTTAAACTATCAATATTGATGTATGACTGCACCCTAAAATTATAAATTTATATTATTTATAATTTTAACACTCACATAAGAATCTGAAGTATTATATAATGACTTTTACATAGAAAAGATGAAGGAGAGTGATATAAAATGTCAGAATATCTCAAAAATATTATAGGCTTACGATCTGTAATATGCGTAAGTCACTTTACACCGTTATTTACAACTACAATAGACTTAAAGACAAATAACACGTTAAACGTAGTCTTTGCTATATTTTTAGAAAATGCAGTTAAAAATAGGAATGTTTACTTTACGTACAGTACCTTCATATACGTTGATGTTGAACTTTCAGTCTGTGTAGTGTCTTGCTCTGAGTGACTCTAATGAAATTTTTAAAAATTATTAAAGTAAACTTTACTAAATTGTGTATAGATTAAATAAATTTAATTGATGTTCAGCTGTGGAATGACCAAATCATTACCTCTGCACCATGAGTGACATTCAGAGATGGACATTCAAGAGAATGCCAAGATTATTTTTAGCAAAAAAAAAAAGAAAAAAAAAGAAAAAAACACGTATTATAGTAAATACATAAAATGTCAACGGTGTCAATGAGCAACGCTTCTAGAGGCGTTTTCATTACTAATGTTAAAACAACAAGCGTTCATGTTAATAAGTTTTTATAGCATGTTGCACAATGAATATTGTCTCAATGTTCCATTAAATTAAATAGGCTATTCAGCTAAAATAAATAATGGCACGTTAAAAGGGCAACATTTTATAAACATCTTGACTTCAGTATGTTGTCTAAGATTTTTAATCTAGCCCGCAAATATAATAAATAATTAATAGGCCGATTCAACAACACCTTATCTCGTAACACTCATCAGGCAAATGTTTATTAGGTTGTCAACAATTGATTTTTGCAAATATGATAGAAACTTACCTGAACAATATCAGGAGTGGAACGTTTTCTACAATAATTTGCTAGAGAAAAAGAAACATAAAAATGTATATCGATACACGTTCCAATAGGATGTAAACATGATATTCATTTGAAAAACGTACAACAAAATGTGTTAAGCCTATTCCGAATAAATAGGAAAGTCATGGTAACTGTTTGTTTTTTCAATGTCAATAACCTATAAATTATGAATAATAAGTACATACAACATAAAATGAACGTTACTCCGAATAAAGAGAGGGAGGCCATGATGATGATGACCCAATAAAGGTCGAAACGTTGAATCATGGCCTCCCTCTCTTTATTCGGAGTAACGTTCATTTTATGTTATTTAAACATAATCAGTGCATCTGTTGGTAAGTACATACAATTTAAAGAGAAATGTAAATTTACAAATCAGAGTTATTCGGCTTTCATAGCTGATTTTAATAATTGTGAATATTGTATATCTTTATTAATTACATATTAAATTTATATTGCATTTAATGTTAACTGATTTTAATTATCTTTTAATAGTTTTTTTCATTCATATTATGAATGATAGGTACCAAAGGTTAAAGAGAAATGTAAATTCACATGTCTCGGTAATTCCGCTTTAATATCTGATTTAAATAATTGTGAATTTCGTATAGGCCCTTTATTTACTACATATATATTAAATTAATATTGCATTTAAGTTCAACAGTAGACACTGATCTATCTCTGATCATTAGACATTTTACACTTAAAAACCTTCATATATTATTGTTTCAGTGCATGATAGGGTTTAAAACTTATTCAATATATTATATTTTACATTTTTTATTACTTCATTTGACCTCAATACGACTAATCATTCTGCATTACTGTGCTTTTATGTTTTTCATATGATTCTTGATATTATTTAACACTGCCAAAGAAAAGCAAGTATTTAATTGTCATTGTCTGTGCTTCATATGGTATTATGCTGTTTGTTTTGGAAAATTTCTTTTTTTATTATTAGAGAAAAACCTTTGTCTTATTGAATTTTATTGAACTTTTTCTTGTATTGTATTACATTGTATACTAGGTGGATGTGATCTTAGCTACTGCTATCATAAACGTGTGCTACTACTCTCGTTCGGTGTGGCAGTGTGGAATATCATAAAGGCAAACGACATGTCATAAGCTCGAGATCTACCTTTGCTTTTGGACTTGGGCAAAACACTTCATCTAAGATATCTACGATGCTAAGGGGTATAGATGGGTACCAAATAGGAAGTGAATTATATAATGAAATTTGGTACATTGGTGCTAAAGAACATGTCTGGCAGGAACTGCTTCCCAAAGGAAGAGTGTTCACGATGTGGACGAATCAGAACGATTGTATCCGTTTTATGTACTTTATTGTATCTTGCGGATAACAGCCCTTGATGGTTTTTGGAGCGTTTTAATAGAATTGAATTAAAAAATTGAATTAAGTTCAAAATTTAATAATATTGATGCTTAGTTGATATTAGGCTTTATTTAAATTTTAATTTAACTTTTATGGTAATATAAAAAATGTTATGTAAAAATGTTTTATTTATAACCTATTGTTGTTGTATTTCATTGGTGTTAAATTAGGGCCGGTAAACATATGGAGTTTTGCTTCATACCAGTTTTATCCTTACTTTTGTTTTTCTCTGTTTCTGTTTTTTTTTGTTTTGTTTTTGTTTTATGTGTATGTATGAAATACGACAAATGATTATAAATGAAAAATAAATATAAAAACACTTGTTTCCAAAAAAGAAGGCTCTAAATGAAAAACAAATATAAAAACACTTGTTTCCAAAAAAAAGGCTCTACACACGAACATGGTGTAAATAAATAATTATAAAACAATTCCGTAGCTTTTTCTCCCAAATTGTCGTAGAATGTGAGGGTTGGCCTTATACAAAAGACAAAAATGGACTTTTGTGTTAAGTCCCGCCCCTTCAATATTGTGAATCAAGCTCGTACGTACTTAAAAACGTGAGTTTGTGTGACAACACGTGTGTTTTAGGGCAAAGTGCGTAATCTTGAGCCAGATTGGTTTGATTGACACTTTGAAATTGAAAAGTCCATTATCCCCGTTCTTCATTTTGAACATGTCATTTTATATTGGCCTATATACTGTACAAGTGTATGTAACTTTGTGTAGAAAGTAAAAAAAAATGAACTTACGCACGATGGTTGGATCTAATGACACAAGTCTATTCGCACACCTACAGATGCAACGTCGATCGAATTGCTTGCAATGTGTACAAACACTTTTAGCAGAATCTACACAAAATAAGCACACATTATTATTTTATACTATTTAACCTTACTATTAGAATTTACAGTGTAGGATATCAAATACTGTAGATACCGGTAGTCAATGGAAAGACTTAATAGGAACCATTTAAGTGAATAAAGCTGGGTAAGAGGAATTAGTACCTACTGTAAGTTATATTTTGTATTATAAAAATAATCGTCTGATAGAAAATACACTTTACAGCTAGGAATAAAAGACAGCATGAACATCAGGATTTGAACTGTAAACAAATAGTATTCGATGGTGTAAAATATAAATTGTATAGAATGGAATATACAGACACCGGATTTAGAAAAGAAGGTTATTTGTCTGGGCATTTCAGTTTATAAACGTGATAAATGTAGGCCAATTGACGAGGTGAGATGTTATGGAACTGCTGAAGAAAAATGTACAAGCCAACCTACACTTTTACTGAAACCTTGTATATTTTTTCCCGCTCTAGGCTATGTTACACATAAATGAGGAAGTAATCAGAATTTGTAGCATTTTAAAAAAATATTTTGAAAGATATTAGATATCTGGATGCTGAAGAAAGGACACCTAATGATAGCTGAAGAAAAT